CCCCGGTAATGTTAGCCTATTATCCAGAATGATGAGGTTTAAAATTGCTTTCACATTATTTACCTTATTACCAATGTCTCCTCTTATCCTCTAGTTCTCGTCTAGTTGACCTTTTATTTCTATATATAAATGTTTTAACAAGTATATGTGTGATCAGATTGTTCGAACTGTATTGCACTACTATATATCACTTAGTTCTGATAATCTTCATCTTCTTACTACACTATCGAAATTTATAAAAGGGACTAACTGCTTTAAATTATACCTAAGATCAGCTTAAAAAATAAGGAATCAATAACTCCTAGACTCATTTCCATAAAAGCAAAGTCTTGATATTTGTCAAGTTATAACCAAACCACATACTAAATTCAACATTACTAAACATATCGCTAAATAATACTAACTATATGAAATTTTTCACTTAATTAATTTTGTTAAAATCGTTTAAAGAGTTAAGATTGGAATTTTGTATTTCTATAGTAACTATTTTGGGATAATCAATGATGAAAGATAAGAATACATGAATTCTAGAAGTGAAATATTCGTTCGCTCGGCACATCATCTGGTTTATCATCTAAATCAAGCCTATTTACTGGATAACTTTTCTCATTGTATTTTTGTTTTAAAATTACTATCTACTTTCTCTTATTATCCACATTATTTATGTGAAGGATAGGAATTTCGTTTGTTCAAATGTCAGTTTATTTATGTATATAAGTTAAATTTAACACATTTGAACGTTTCAGTTCATAGAAATGAAAGAATTGTGTTGTTAAACTGACCGACTAGAAAGATAAATGACCTACCGCTATAAATAATTCCTATGAATGAATTTTTCGCTATTGTTATTCACCTTAGTTTACCAAAAACACAATGTGAATACCTTAAAATTAATACGAAAACGCAAGAGTCCTGTTAAATGTACCACAGTCTACCGTGTTTGAACGTATATTTTATATTATATTTTTACGATAGGTACATGTATACGTGCATAAATGTTGACAGGTAAAGTTTGCGAATTGTCTCTGTCATCCATTTTAAAATAAAAATAGCTATATTATTCATGAATATTTTTTTACTGGTCTTCTTCATTTATTTTGCCACCTTTATCAGTATAGAAAATGTTAACTAGTCCGCTCTTGATAAACAAATCTAGTTTAGTTTTAGGAAAATAAAGACATTTACTCATAGATGAATCATTTCACCAACAGATTCAAGCATAACGTATAATATTTATATTAACATTCTCTTTTTCATATTAAGAAGTAAGATAGCTCCTGAGTTTTAGTAAGTAATGTTTGTAGGTAAGCCAAATAACTTGGTTAAGATAAGAAGATTGCAATGTATTCAGTATTGAATAACATTTAAAACAATTACTGGATTGATACAAATATTGAAACTAAATATTCCATGATCAAGTATCTTAGCCACTTTGTTTGACTGATTTACGCAGCATCATACATCATGGGCGATTTATTTTAATTCAGAAATAATAAATTAGTTTGACTAAACGTTACACTGCCTATTTAGCCATTAACGGTATCACTAAGTTGAATTAACGTTCGTCTGTACAGAAGCATATAGGTAAATTACTTATTGTAAGCAATTCTCATTAGAACTGGAAATGTGTAAGCTAATCGTTTAATTTTTTGGGAAATTATTCATCAGACTTATATGATGTACATTTTAAAACAAAACTATAGGCACTCTATTTTAGTTGTGAATACTTTATGCTGAAATAGTTATTTATTGAGTATTGTCCTTGATCATTTGTTAAAATAGACATACATTTAATGTAATCTTCTAATAGATAAACATTCTATTGTTCCTGTGTAATAGAGATATGTATCTACTTAACCTGATATACAAAATACACCGTTTGAACTTGTCAAAACTGGTTTGCATAAACATTCAATAAAAAATGATATTATAAATTTTGAAATGGAAAGTTTATTTTGCCCACCTTCTCATAGTAACCACAATAATGATGAAAAATGATCGCATTTTAAATCGCTTTTATTTTTTTAACTCGCTTTTGTCATATTGTAATTCTGACTTAGTATTAAATTAGTGCTCAATTTGTTGTTTAGTAATATTCTAAAGGTGAAAGTTGGTCAAGACATTATATTTGTTCTTCTTATTATTATATTAGAGATCTTCATTTGTAAATATTTGGTAATTTTTGGGTTTATTTTTATATAAACTAATCGAATTGGATTGTCGCTATGTTGTTGTTGGCTTTTTTATTAGAACAACCAACTAATCAACCCTGAAATCGGGCATTTTCCATGTTCTTAAAATACTTACTAATGAAAATAAAGTATTCATTATGGTTATAAAAGTGTCAAATGTCAAAGTAATGTAAGTAATTGACCGGTGAGACTATAATTTATGGATGACATTTGAGCGACGTTGGAGTGATCTTGCTAGTGTCCACCTAATAACCAGGACTAAACGACGGTTATAAACCAGGGTGAGGAATTAGAATTATGAGTTACAGTTGATGGTTAAGGTTAGGAATTAGATATAGGGTTTTCATCACGAACTGACATCAGTTATAATCCCAAAACTCAATTTAACCAAATGAATGAGTGAACATCGCACCAAAATCCGAGACTTGTTATCTTATACCTGATTGCTTCGTCCATAAACTATAGTCTCGCCGGCTTAAATTTTGACATCAACAAAAAAATTTAAAAAAACTTCAATGCACATTTGATTGTATTAACAAGATTCTTTCGTTAAATGTTAAATGGCAAAACAAAATTTACAAACAAGTTTTTATTCAAAAAAAAACAGAAGTACATTTAGTGAATTCTCTTAAATTTTTATGTTAGAAATGATTTTGTTAATTTAATGGTTGTCAAATATCGAGAAGTTAGCTACAAGTAAAATGTTTCCAGGTCAAATTAATTAATTTTTTTTTCTAATAGCCTTGAACTGAAAATGAATTTAGTGCGTATTGATGATAAACAATCATTACATACAAACTTTATTAAAAAAGGGAGTCTTGTTGAGATTGTAGTAATTTGATAGTCGAATTCATAAGTTGATTAAAACTAGACTACCATGGAAAATTTGGAAGCACTGGATGGCTCATGAGTTCAACTATTAAATTACTACAATTTTCACAACACCCCTTTCTGATAATAATCATCATGTGTTCAGTAGTGACTAACTTCAAGAGGTATTTCCTGAAGTTCTAGTGAGAAGCCGTGACCAGTGGAATTCAACCGTGTCTGTCGTGAAATATTAACTCACTGAAGATAGTGGTGGACGGTCACATAATATCGTGGATTGGTTGAAGATAAACATCAACATCGTTGGATACCGGCTCAGGGGTCTAGTGATTTAGGGTTCGCGAGCAAGACTGAGTCCCTGGTTCAAATCCTGCGGGCGGGATCATAAGTGCTCACTACTGAGGTGTCTCATACTAGGGCGAAACAGTCGTCCATTGCTTCCAGGTTTTCCATGGTGATCTTGCTTTAATTTACTAATGAATTCAACTATTAAATTATCTATTTTTGTTAATGTTTTTTTCCTTTAGGAATATTTACATATTAATAAAAATTCATAAAGCAGAAGTTGAGTACTTTAGCCCTAAACTTAATATTACTCAAAATTTGATGATTTTATATTCATTAGACTGAAAGATTTAATAACAAGTAACATCAGACTTAACAACAATCCTACGATTAAGTCATTGTAATCGATGTAAAACAACACTCTTCCCTGTTAAGAAATGAAGTCCAACATCTATCCATCACTTAAAAGTTGATGAAAGATAATAAAAACTAAATCTTAAACAGGAGATCTGTGTTTCTGTACAGTAATTAGCTTTTGCGGAAAAAAGCTTACTAAAAGAATATATCCTATTTTAAATATTGAAATGAAAGATATTTCTAGACAGTAATCAAAAATATGACAAACAAAACTGGATGTTCAACATGAAACCTAAATATATAAATCGGTTTGCCATCAAATTATCATTACGGATACATCATGTTTTTGATTTTAAATCAAAGTTTGCTAATCAAACAATCCAATGCCATATTTGTCACTGTTATTAAACATAAAAATCCACTTCACTGTTTTTTTGTCGACTGTTTTCAGACAATAAGTGCATTGATTTTGATTACATAAAATGCTTTTTTTTTTAATTAAACTTATATTAGTGTTTCAGGTTACAGCACTCTCACAATTAGAAAGCGGTTTATTTATGTAAACATCAGAATCAAGGTCAGATTTGAAGATTTCAAATAAGTTATTCATGAAGTGGATTGTCAATAACACAAAATGATACACTTTTAATATCCAGATAAATAAGAAATTCCATGTCAATAACATTTACGATAAATGAATTAAGCATAGACAAGTAGTTGTCTGTAATTGAAATTCATTAATAACAAACACTTGTATCAAGTTGTAAATAAAATGATAACAGCTACTATTCACTAAGTTTTTAGCCAGGTAATTATATTTCAGCAGGATTATTGTAAGTTATTAAGTTATTAGTAAGTCACTAGTCCCATTAGTGACTGGCTTCAAGAGGTGTATACTGGAGTTCTAGTGAGAAGCAGTGACCAGTGAAGTTTAACCGTGTCTGTTGCGAGATAGTAACTCACTGATGGCAATGCTAGATGTGAATTACTTGAAGTTAGAAATTAACACTGTTGGATACCGGCCAGCTCAGTGGCCTAGTGTTTAAGCGCTAGCGCGCAAGGATGATAGGTCCTTGATTCGAATCCCACGAGGCGTTGTCGTGGATGCGCACTGCCGAGGAGTCCCACAATAGAACGAAACGGCCATCCAGTGCTTCCAGTTTTTCATGGTGGTCTGACTTCAACTGACTCATGATCTCAACTAATGATATTAATTATAAGTTGATTAGAAAAAAAGAAGGTTCCCAAAAGATGTCAGTAAAAAAGTAATTCACAATAATAAAGAAAATATATTTAGATAGATTAAAAGACATTGATGAAAACCAATCATTCACTTACCTTGTACTGTTAAGACTGCTGTTTGACTTAGATATTGTTGTCGCATAAAATTCACTTGACATACGTACGAACCTTCATCTGATAGTTCTACATTCATTATTTGTAAATCATATTGTCCTAAAGAAATAGAATAAATATCATTGTGAAGGTTAAAAGTATTAGTTGATACAGTGATATACATAGCTGTAAATCACTGAATTAATTTATAGTCCTAATATACTTTGAGTATGTAATATTATCATGCTAACTACAAAATTAACGATCTGGAATTAGATACTAGATGATTGTGAATATTAAGAACATTATTTTTTACTTGTATACAATGAAATTAAATTACTGATATGTCTTTTATGTAGTTACTTCTGTGTAAACTTACATCAATAGTATAGTTGAGCCAATACTTATTATATGTACGATACATAATGAAATTCATGAATGTACTTCTCTTTGTAAAAAAATGTTATCCAAAGTTAGTGTATTGATGATGTCTAGAAAGAATGATGGATGCTATGGAATTCAATAATCCAGCTAAGTAAATGCACCATCATCTAAATAAAAATTTCCCAATTTTTAATTTATCATAACTTCAAGAATTATTTGTGATAGCAATAAACTTTTAATCGATTAAACAGATATCATTTGTTATTTTAAAAGAAACAAAATACTACTTGAAGTAACAATCATAATTTTACAATCCATATTGAATGTACTTCATTTCAAAATATGTTTTACAGAATAAATATTTTAGTCACTAACTTCTAGTCTTAGCCATGTTAGTAGATGCAGACGACTTGGTTGAGGTCGATGCGACTATCGTAACCGATGATTGGAGACTCTGGGTGGCATGGCTTAGAATCGATAACAATGGCGTAGGTGTATACACTTTTCGCTCTATATCTCTTTTTCTACGAATTAATTCTTCCTCCCGTAATATGTAATCATTCTTTTATATATTACTACCATTGCAGTAACTGCTTCTATGAATTTGTTGTTCATCCTGTTGTGCTAATGAGGTGTGGCAACTTGGATTGATGCATTCATGTGCTTGATCATACGTTGTAACTGACTGACTTACTGACTTAGTTATAAAATATATTTCATGATTGAATCATTCTAAGCTATTAAAATTCATTAATACCAATCTGTCCAAATTTTAGTCTGGATTAATTTTTTTATTTCTAAACTAGGTATTAAAAAATACTGTAGTAATCCAAAAGAGAAGGTACTTTTCAATACGAAATAAATAGAAGTTATAGAGTTTTTTTATTTATTTAGAATTCATGTAGAGGTAAACAAATAAAAGAACGTACATAGTAATAAAAGTATTTACATATAACAAAGTTTATGGGTTTCAGTGTTTATTATTTTAAGACAATATAGAAATCGATTTTTTACCGACTTAATTACACAATTTACATTCTAATGATGTTAAACCCTTCATGAAAACTAATAAAAAGCTATTTCTTTTGGAAAGCTATTGTTTCCAAATTTTCAGGGGATAGTTTTGTCCATAAGATGAAGAATAAAAATTATATACTGTCATAGCTTTTCAGTTTTTTCTTTCAACAATGTAGACCAACTACAAATTAGTGGGAGGTTGAGTCATCTAGCATAGTAACCATTTAACTTATAGTATTTTGTCAGAGATAAATAATAAGGATCATTTTATGTATTTCTGAGTTGTTTTTTCTCTTGCAATAAGTGATGGTATGGTAGTAGTCGCTTTAATATATTTTACTGTTATACAACAGACACAGATTACATAAAATATCATCTTACCATTTTTTTCTTAAATTTTTTCCGAAATAATTGCCTATCACGTGTCATTTACAAGTACGTGCAAAAGCAAATACGCAAGATGAATAAGGGCAGTAGCACCTAAATGTTATATTAAGCATATAACAAAGTACGTAAATCTCAGAGGTCAAAATAATAAGAATAGTCCCATCGAACATCAATTACTAGGCAAATGACATGAAATAGGTATGAGAAGTATATTACAACTGATCAATGAAGAGTATAATTCCACTCTGTTGAGATTCCCAACAACCATAACTATCATGATGCTAAATCTTGACCATTTCGCTCAAAATAAAGCAGTGGTCTTGCTGACTAAAGTAGACAACTGAAAACATTTCCTTATCTATTTTCAAGATGTCATTGTAGTTTAATAAGTTTGATCCAAAATAATTTTCAGTCCTGTTTCGTTTTTGACACATAACAGCCTCTAAATTGAAATATTACTATTTTCTTTGTTATAAATAGATTTTCTTTTCATTAATGTTTTCTAATATTTCTTTAACTGATTTCTTCAGTCCCTTGTTAAAATTATCTGTATTATGTAAAAAAGTGTAACCCTTCACAAAATATCGAATTCAATCAATCAACTTCGTAAATAACTTCTGTTTTGTTTAATCATTAGAACAGTTTGTCATGTTTTAAATGCAAAAGTTTTAAACATGTTTTTAAAAATAAGTTGAAAACAATCAAAGGAAACATTTTTTTCGTGTCACACTAATTGTTTTTGTAAACAAATAAAAAGGTTTATTGTAATATTTGACAAACTGTTTGCATCTTATTTCATATCGATCAACAGAACTTAAGCTTATACACTGTTAATGATTTTTTTTAAATTCAACTATTCGAACAAACATTGGATAATCAAGAATAATCATTTCCTGGAGTTCTAGTGAGAAGCCATGATCAGTGCAGTTCAATCCGTATCAGGTATGAGACAGTTATCCACCTCAGACAATCGATGAAGGGTTGAGCACGATCATGGACCGAGGTCTAGAGGTAAAGCGTTCGCGCGCGAGATCAACGAACCTGGGTTTAAGTCCCTCGTGTGGGATTGTGAACGAAAAGGCTATTCAGTGCTTCCAGGTTTTCAACGGTGGTCTATCTTAGACTGAATTTTAAATTCAACTTTGAAGATAATGAATAGCTGACAAAATATTTGGGTATACAAACATAAGAATGATAATTACGATCTGTCTCATTTAAATAGTTATCTGAAATTGTGTCAACTGAAAGAGATAAGCCAGCATGATCTTTGTCGATCTCAGTCACCAAGCGTTAGATTCACTTTATACAACAGAAACATTATACATAACTGTGCGGTGATGATCTTTAGATTTTATTCATCTTCAATATTCCATATCTTTCAATTTAACCTTGATTACATCATATCTCTTTAGAGCTTTTGTTACCTTCTGATTCTATCGGATTATTCTCTCTACAACGAAAGTTAGTATAGTATAATCAGGTCATTTCAAATATAATATCAGTAAAAAGACGATTTTCTTTCCTAGAACTAAAGTAAGTTACTGATAAATTTCCTTTAGAATTTTAACATTTCCTAATGGTGACTTAATGAAATAGTCACCAGAGTTTTTGATTTGTGTGAGTTAATTCATATCAAAAATAGTTTAAGTAGGTGTGAATCAAGCAGCGAAAAATCGTTTTTTAAACCAAAGTTCATCAAAATGGCAATACAAGAGTATTTGCTCTGGGTAAAACATGTCCAAGAACTTTCATATAATCGTTTTACTTACACTATTTCAACAAAAAAACACCAGTTAACAGAATTTTTGAGGTGTTACTCACTGTTAACCACTCCTTCATTGATAAAATGCTTCAAGATAACCAATACATATATTACGTAAATACAATGTAAAAGAGCGGAAAACAGTTATTCATAGTCTTATGAAAGCTAGTCAACATTACCTTCAAACGTTAAAACTGAATAATATGTGGTATGATATAAGAAAATCTAGTCAACCTTTATGTTATCTTACTTATATTGTGACGGGTAAACACGATAAAATTCTAAAAAATGAAGAGAATAATTTGCAACGATAAAATGTGCATATTGTCCTTAACTTCCATTATTTTTCATTGACGCAACACACGTCTATTTCGTTATATAAACTATTAGGTGTTAACTAACTATAAATTAGTTTGAATAGTGTTATTAAATGACATTATCGTAAAGAAAACTTTGTTTAATTATCTTTTTTTTAATGACGTATTAGTTGTTTTTGTCGATTATAAGTAGTTCATTTCATTCATTCATTAAATACTACTTGTGATATTTCTACAATTCACTTATCTTTCAACTGGATAAAAAGAAATGATGTCTTAACTCAATGTGTTAATTTTACTGATTGAGATAATAAACCGATTGATGTTGGACCACCGTCGGAAACCTGGAGGCACTGGACGATCGTTTCGTCCTATTGTGGGACTCCTCAGCAGAGAGGATTCACGATCCTGCTCAAGGGATTAGAACCCAGGTCTTTCAGTCTCGTGCGTGAACGCCCAACCTACTGGACCATTGAGCTGGCATCCAATGGTGCTAATGTCTAACCTCAACCAATTTTGGTATAATAATTACTCAATAATATACTTGTTTTATTTTCAGTTCGATACTTTTTCGGATAACAGTAAATTTATTACAGTGTACCGCTCACCTATGATAATATTCTTTGTATTAATTTTTTATGGACATTATTCAGCATAAAATATAACACTTGGTTTTGTAGCACTTCCATGTATCGTCCCTATATGCATTGTTTACTGGTTATTGTGTGTAAATTCGAAATAAATCTATTATCAAAAAGGGTAGACCTATTTTAGAGGATGAAATAGATTTTCTATATTAGTTTTGTTTCTTATTTTATCAGCGTACACCGAAGTGATTCGTTGCTTAAAATAATGTGCACTGATTTCCTAAGTCCAAGTGTCAGCAGCTTCTGTGGCCATTAAATTTTAGTAGCATGGCAACTAGCAATCATGAAACATATCATTTTTTAAGAGGAAAGATATTATTTTCATCAAAAGAGATTGTTATATCACTTGAGAAGTTTACCAATAAAGAATATACCAAATGTAGTAGACTTACTATTATTCTGTGTGAAGTATTGTGATATTCAGTTTTTAGTTACAGCTTTTGAAAGGAGTATGGAATCTCTAACTTATATCAAACTATCTTATTGAATTTTTTTCAGTTCTCTATTGATACTTATTAGTAATAGTGACTTACTCAACAAATATATTTATTATCAGAAGAGGGTTTTGTGGAGACTTTAGTAGATTAATAGTGAATTCATGAGTCA